TGGTGTTTTTTGTTTTATTGGTGTTTTTTGTTTTATTGGTGATCTGGGTTTTAGTGGTGGTAAAGGAGCGACTTCTGGTGAACTACTCTCTTTAGTCTCCATATGTACTTCTTCAGGCGTTGATAATTCAGGCGTTGATAATTTGGGCGTTGATAATTCAGGCGTTGATGATTCAGGCGTTGATGATTTAGGCGTTGATGATTCAGATGTTGTCGTTGTTCTGGGTGTTGGTTTAGGATGTGTGTGATCTGAGGTTTTTGGTTGTATTTGTTTTGTGGTGTTTTCAATTGCTGATTTTTCTTCATCTTTAATGATATATAGAAATATGATCACAGATGATATCAATATGCACAACAATAGTCCAAATACAAGCACTTGTTTAAAAAGTTTTCTCTTCGTACTCCCCCCTGTGATCATAAAAGGGTTAATTTGTGATGTTGAGATAACAAATTCGATTTTTGATCAATACATACCCTTGTTGATAAAAAAAACTATATATCATTAAGATGTTAACTCTCCTATTAATGACAGTTTCAATGGTTTAAAGATGATGAATTTATCTATCTCCTTTAGATATACACCCTCCATATATCATCCACTCTCTTTTCAAGAAATCAAGAATATAGAAAATATGAAGATATGGGCCATGATAGTTCCTAATCAACGTATAGATCACAATATTTTAATATAAAACTTTCTTATCATCCGATACCCCATCAGAATCATTTGTGTTCACACTCTTAGTTTGTCATCTTTTACTTTAATTCGTTAATGTAGTGCTCTTCTTTGAATACTTTTCTGGAATATCAACTGATTATCATGCTAAATTATGTGATTAATTTTATACTCTTTATCCACTGATTTCTGTTGCAATCAGTTACCTAGATTAGGTCATATTCTCACCTAGAATCCTTAAATCCGATACTTTGAGTCTTATTAGCGGAATAATCATCTGTATATTTACATTTTAAATGTGTTTAATATATCAGGTTATTTAAGTTTCACTTCAATAATAAATAACCCATGCTTTTTCTAGTTCTATTCGTCTTCATGGTGGTAGCATACGCGTATGGAATCAAAAAACCAGCTATTTTTACAACAAACAAGGCGATTGCAGCAATAATGCCATCGTACACCATTCCCCTTTTCTTTTTGAACATAGGGTTTCTACAGAGCACAATTCCACTCTTTACACGTGGGAGAATACTAAATGAAGCAAGGAAAAGAACACTCAAATTGTGTCTGGACGAGGCAGAGATAAACGTGGACATATTTGAGAACAGCAACGGATCAAAGACTGCTTTGAATGTTGTATTGGTTCCAGGATTGCATGGAACATCAAGAAGCAGATACGTTGTTGATGCAGCAAACTTCATGCTCAAGAAATATTGCAGAGTATTCGTAATACATGCTAGAGGAGTACTTGGTCTACTCAAATCAAACAGATACTCGCACGTAGGCCATACGGAAGACCTACTTTGTTTGACTGAACATATCATTGGATCATACACAAATCAGGTCTTCTTTATTGGATTCTCCCAGGGAGCAAACGTAGTCACAAAATTCCTAGGCGAATTTGATAGCAGTCGAATTGTAGGCGGTATAAGCGTATGCAACCCATTCAACTTCAAGAACCTAGAGAATCTGGTTCTGACTGGTGGAATATGCAACAGAATAGGACACAGGGCAGTGGTTTATGTCCTAAAGAAGCATCTACATGAAATATTTCCAAACAACCTGAAATTCAACATGGAACAAACAAGGATATCAAAACTAACGACATGCACAGAGGTCACAGCCAAGTTGATTGAGATGGATTTCATTGATACGACAGATATTGAGACATTTTTGCACCAGAACTCGTCTGAGTTCTACATAGAAAAGATAAAGAAGCCGTTTCTGTTCATTAATGCAGTGGATGATCCAATAATACCAGAAGGCGTGATTCCAAAGCAGAAAATACTGAAGAACAGTATGACTGGTCTGATTACGCTGCATGGTGGCCATCTTGGATTCAAGTCATTCTTTATGACTAGCACCCTGGAAACAATAATGGACCAATTTGCTAAGCAACTTAAGCTGTTTTAATTCAACAGTTGAATAAACTACTTAAATATTCCATTGAGCCACTTGACTGTCTCAACTACGTCCAATTGGCCCGTTTCATAGATCAGATCACATATCAATGCCTTGTGCTCCTTGTTCCTGTATCTTAGACTGTATATTCCATGTACATTCAGTTCAGTCTTAATTTCAATCATTTTGCCTTTTGAATAGAATTTCATGCATTTGTTATCCAGGTAGTCAATTCCAAAATAAAGCACATTAATGACATAATATCCCAGTACCATTGCAGAGACATAGAGTTCAATTGCATCCCACCTATATGTCATTGATAGGTAGCATATTACTGCTCCAAACACAGCAGATAATGCTCCAATTACAATCTTAATGTTGTCGTAAAAGAGTCCTTGTTTGTAGCCCAAATGCGCCAAATATTCCACCACAAACTCATTCAGTACAATTCGTACATTTCCACGTGTGTGTAGGTCGACATACGGCATCTTTTTAGTCTTTTCTGAGATGTATTGATCCAAGAAAGATGACCTGGTTTCAGTTGTCTTCATTTGGGGCATTGGGAAGTTTGTTACAAAATTGCAGTGATTTTTGTTTTTGCTTCAAATGCAGTTGAATGAAAATCACAGTCGCATTTGAAGAAGAACAAAAACACCTAAAAATGAGCAATAAAAAACTAACAGAGACAATTGAGAAACTGGCTGGAAATCTATCAATTACAAGTGACCAAATGATAGATTTATTGGTGAACACACTCAGTAAAGAGAACTACGAGAGCAATTTGGTTGATTTGCTTGGATTTGATTCAGTAGAAGAAATATTTACGATTGTAGAATACAGGAATGAAATAACTGCAATGAAATCATCAAAAGATCCACCAGAAGAATCAGAAAATGACAAATACACAGAATATCTGGTGCAAAGAGAAGTTGTAACTAAGAAAAAAAGCGTGGAAGTTATTCCAGTGACCAAATTGATCAAAAATGGTAGGATACTGTTGCAAGATAAAATGACCAAAATTAACATCAAAACATTCTTCAAATACACGCATTTCAATGAGATGCAATCAACGATGTTCGAAACAGCCTATAACACGAATGGAAACTATTTGTTGAGTGCTCCAACTGGATCAGGTAAAACAGATGTAGCACTTCTAAGCATCCTAAAGAACTTCAGAAATAGAGACAAGAAAGTCGTATATGTTGTACCAATGAGAGCATTGGCTACTGAGGTAGTCAGAAAGTACACCAAAATGCTCAGAAACACGCTAAAAGTGGTTGAATACACTGGTGATACTGATATTGCGCCACAAGAAGCAAATAGGGCAGATATGATTGTATGTACACCAGAGAAGTTTGATCTGACGACCAGGAGACTGAATAGTCCAATTAAGAGCATTTCATTGGTCATAATTGATGAGATCCATCTGTTGGATAATACAAGAGGTGTTGTATTGGAGACAATCGTGGTACGAATTCAACAAATGGGTATAAATAACCAAGAAATAATTCGAATAATAGCATTAAGTGCAACTGTACCAAACTATAAGGAGATAGCAGAGTTCATTAGGGGAAAGGCGTACCATTTTGGACAGGAATACAGGCCAGTCACCTTAGAAAGCAGATTAATTGGATTTAGAAAATTGAAGGAGGAAATAAAAGAAGAGAAGGAGGAACAACACGACATTTCTGAGAAGTTAGAGACCATTCAAATCATAAATAACAAACCAGTCAAGGAGAAAACAGTCAAGAAAGCAAAAACGAATCTTGAGAAACAAAATGACAGATACGTCTTTGAAAACAAGTTGGAGTACCTGATAGAGAAGATGAAGAAGCATGAGACCAAACAGTCCTTGGTGTTCACCACAAGCAGAGGCAACACGACCAGAATAGCACAGAATATTCTGAGGAAGCAAGGAATAAGCGTAGACCAGAAAACAAGTCTATTGAAGTACAAAATAGGAGTTCATCATGCTGGATTGTCACGAAAAGAGAGGCTTGAGACGGAAGAGGCCTTCAGAGACGGCAGAATCAGCACGTTGATATGTACAACAACACTGGCCTGGGGCGTCAATCTCCCAGCTGACGTCGTCTTCATATTTGACACAGTCTACTACGATTTGACTGTTGGCAACTACGTTGACATGCACATTCTGGACGTGTTCCAGATCGAAGGACGTGCTGGTCGTCTCGAATACACCAAAGCCACCAAGGCGCATTCCTACATATTCTGCTCTCATAGCTCATTCAACTCGTTCAAACACAAATTAAGCTTAAACTACAAAATTAAGTCTAATTTGCATAAGAAAATACGAGACATTATGCTAAGTGAAATTTACCTAAGGAATATCACAGACCATCAAGGGGCAGTCGACTGGTACACGAAGACGTTCAGTAGTGTCCTCTGCTACGAAGTTGACCTCGATTCAACCCTTGCTGCCCTCCACTGCGACGGTCTCGTCCACAAGGAGACATCCATTTCCAATCCATTTGAATTCACCACCAGCCCCCTTGCTGCCTACGCCGTGCTCCACTACGTCTCTTGCAAGACACTTCGCCTCTTTGTGGAGCAGTTTCGTGACATCCGTAGCACTCCTGATTGCATTGAGCTCCTAGTTCAATCTGACGTCTTTGATAACATCACAGTGAGACAGGATGAGACAGTCCAGCTCATATCTCTGCTTGAATCAGGTGACTTGTATCAACATACAGCTGCTCTCGACCCCAACACGTCTGAATTCTCAGCCAGAGACAAACTCCTCATTCTCTTTCTAAATCACCTCTATAATCCAGGCATGAAATTGGGATACACCCTGCACATGGATACAGTCTACCTGATTGAAAACAGCACCAGAACACTGGAACTGCTCAAGAAGATCCTTGTTTACTACCACGAATACGACAGATACGTCGTATGTAGCAGATTGAGCGTAGCACTGAAATCAAGAATCACAACTCATAAAATGGGTCATATTTCCACCACAGTCACCGAAATCAACAAGTTCACCACATTCAAACTGGATCCATCAATCAAATTTGACTATATTGCTCTCCATCACGAAAACAGAATAGTCTGGCTCACTGATATCACAGAATGTACCTACATCACCGATGTCACCGATTACGATAGAATGACCCTATCAATCAATGGTGTTGATTACGATATCCAATACTCAAAAATGCCTGGAATCAGTAACCAGTACAAGAACATCAATTTGATTCAGGTAATGAACATTTTCATGGGAGAAAGAGAAGCAATGATGAACTACAAAATAGTTGAGATAGTTGAGCAGAATATGCCTGTATCCAATAATGGTATATTGGTAATAACCAGGAAGTCAGATATTGATAGAACCATCACATCATTGAACATAATGGTCAGTATCAGGCTGAGCATGTTTGACTTATTCAGTAGAAGCAATGTTGTCAGTGATGTATCAGATGATACAACTGGAATAATAGTGTATAAGGGAATTAGGATTATGGTGAAGAATAGTAAGAATGAGTATGTGATAGATACAGCCAATAATCTGAGGATATACTGCTAGTAACATACTGTTACAAGTATCCCATCCATCCAATGTACATCTCACTCAGGTTACCAATATCCTGGGCGTCATTGATGATCTCATCAGTTCTCTCTTCTACGCCCTTGCTGTCACTGAGTTTCTCTCTCAAATTATCAAGAATGCCCTGTGCTATTGCGTCATTGCTTCCTTTTGCTGACTGAATTCCAATCTGTTTTGATTCCTTGATAATTGGATCGTAAACAAATGATAGCAGGTTGCTTATTATTGTATCCCTATGGGAGTAGAGCATTCTCATTACACCAACAGCAACATTCCTGTACTCTTTGAGTTGTAGGAATCCAAATCCATCAACTACGTTCTGAGTCAGTCTGAATGGAACTCGTTCAGGAATAGTCAGCTTTCTACCACTCTCAAAAATCATATTCAGATCAACGTGGACTACTCGATTGGTTCCATTTTGAATCAGAATGTTTTCAGTGTGTCTGTCTCCAAGGCCCATGAACCACCCTAACACATTCATCACTGCTGTTGATTTGGTGAATGAGTCAATTGCACCGTAGTATTCAGCACTGGTGGAGAAGCAGCTTAGAAAGTGTCTCATGAAGACAGGTGGTAGGTCATTCATAGCTCTAACCATCCCATTTCTGTCCATTTTCTTCTTTTTGATGAATTTGGTGAGTGGTGAATTCACAGCTGTCTCGTTGTGGTAGCCAAGGATGATGCTTTTGAATGATATCAGATCGGGAATGTAGGAGATGATTCCAGCAGAGTCAGTGAGTGGTATCACGTCGTATGTCACAATTGATTTTGATGGATCAAGGAGCATCTTGTTGATCAGTCTGCTTAGATCCATGAAACGGGCATCTCTTCGTAGATCGTCCTTGTTCTTCAGCACAAATTGGTATTTGACACCGTTGGTGCCTCTGAGTCCAATTCGCTTAGGCTTTTGAAGTGATCGATAGGTTGCAATTTCATCATCGAAATCAGAAATGAAAATGTCATCAATTTGTCCAGGAACGTGGATATCACCCTGAATAAACTTGGATATTCCTGGGAAGTCCTGTTTCATTGATAAATCTGTTTTGGTTGATTTGGCTATGTCGATGAAAGTGTAAGCCAATTTGGTGATATTCTGCCTGTAAATTCCAATGGTGTCCAATTCAACTGAAAATGTTCGTCTGGAATTGAAGTAGAGAATTGTTCTCCAAAGGAGTCCGCTGTACTTCCTTATCATTTCTTGGATGATTTGTTTGATGAACGCATTCTTGTGGTTCGTGAGCAGGTGCTGGTAGTAGTTGACAAACTGAGGCAGTTTGCTTCTAATAATTTCCTGTAGAATTGTATTCAATACTGCATTTTTGTCTTTGATTGTTGGGCTCTTTTTGTTTAACAGAAACTCAACATCAACTCCAACTGCTTCTGTGACACTGAAGTTGCTGATTTGGTTTATCAGGTGAATGAATTTTGGAACTGATTCGTAGTTGTAGCCAAATGATTTGTAGTAGTAGAAGATGGCATGGATTGTGTTATTGCTTCTATCATTGTATTTGGCGTAGAGATAATACAGTTTGATCAGATCAGTATTGGTTTTAGGTGGCTGTTTTTCTGACTCAATTTCATTCAGGTTGATACTGTTCAATTTCTCAATTGATTTGATGAATTCCTTCTTGCTATCCAATAATTCACACCTCTTTACAATTGCTGCCTTGTTTTCTGGATCACAATTGATTAATTTCATCAATGCCCTGATTCCCTCTTCTTTCTTGTTTTCTTCAACTTTCAGAATGGCGTATTCGTACAGAATGTGATGTCTGCTATTCAGTATCAGGTTGTTGATGATTTCGTGTATTTCTTGATATCTCTTCTTTTGCTTCAATATTCTGATGTATTCGAGGGTGATGAATTCAGTCCATTTGCTGTGATCAGATTCTAAATTCATTAATTTGTAGTGTTCAGCAACTAACAAATTCTTGAATCTGCTCTTTTCCATTCTACTGATCAATAATTGGACTATTTTGTGATCTGATTCATTCAGAAATGCCCTATCACTTTTTACATGTCTCTCTACCAGAAACCTGTTAGTTTCCTCTATTTCCTTATTGCTGGTGTAATATTCAATTTTCTGATCAATTTGCTCTGCTTCTGATCGCATGACTTGGTCACAAATTGTTAGTGCAACATTCTTATTGTTTTCTATCACACCCTTTGTTTTGATCGATATCAACGAATATTCATCATCCTCAATCAAATAGCATTTGCTGATATCATTCAAATTGTAATAGCTGAATATCAGATCTACGCCGTACTTCTGTTTGATTTTGCTAAATGATTTGTGTTTGATCTGGAAATAAGGCATATCAGTGATTTTGGATGGTGTTTCAGTCGATGAAGTTGCTGGACTGTTGTTGAAGAATGTCTGTCTACCTTTAGTTCTTTTGCTCTGTACCATTCCATGTTGCTGGACATCTTCTGCTACTTTTTGTTCAATTCCCTGAATGATTTCGTAGTAGCCTTTTTCTCTAATTCCCAATTCAATGTATTTGTCATGGGATATTAATGATATGAAGCACCTCAATCTGAGCAGAATGTGACTGATCAGATTAAATATGTTGGTGTTGAGCAGAATGTCAATGAGATCATGTGGAATGTCATTGATCAGAATGGTCTTGGCTGATTTCAATTTCTTGTTCTCATCATATTCTGGTTTATTCCGTTCTATAATCTCCTCAATCATTTTGTAGATTCCTTCTTCGACTATTGTATCATCCAATAATATCAGGTATTTCATGAACTCATAATCAGATCCAAGATTCTGATATAGGAGCATATGAAAGCATCTCAAAACATCCTTACCAGTGAATTCCATCTCACTGAAGTGAATCCTGTATTCTTCTTCAATATTACCAGTGTACTTGTATTTTGAGGTGGTAAGTTGGTGACTCAGAACAAAGAATGGGATGGTATTTCTCACCTTTGCTTTCTTGAGATTGTCTGTTGGTTCCAATTGTAGCTTCTTGTGCATGATGTCATTGTAGTGCTTGGTGTATTCCTGTAATACGAACAGATAAATCTCAACATTTTCCTGGTATTCAGCCCTAAGAAGAAAGTTGTTAAGAATATGCTCATACATCAAGGCGTATTTCTGTATCTGATGCTTCTTCTTGCAGCACGACATACATCCTAGTATTGTCTGTAGCTTGCTGTCGTACAATTCTGTGAATTTGCTGCTGTTTTCAATTGCATATTTCAGAACCTGTGAATCAGCCCCTGTGAAATTGAATCTGTTTCTATGCAAATTAAGCTTATTTAGCCACAATTCATTGGAATTTGTTTGTATATGGTTGCATAAATCATACTTGACTTCAATTCCTAATTCTTCACAGAGTGCTTCATAGCTCTTGTGTGTGATATCAATTCCCGCATAGCTTGCAAATCCACTCCTGCATTTACATCTGTTGTTCTTCAGAAAGTGCTCCAGCATTGGATACAAATACTCTATCATTACACCTAACATCATACTATCGAATGCTCTTATAATGAAGAAGAGTGTCTCATATATACATATGCCTCTATCTACTACTCCCAGCCTGTTCATAACCTCCATTCTTCCATTATAAATCTTCTTTGTGTAGTACATTATTTTGCCTATGTTGTTCTTGATGAATTCGTTTACATTTGGTTTATAAAACCTGCTTAATTTGGTCGTATCAAAATATCCTCCCAAAACCAGTATCACAAATGCTTCTACACTTTCAGTTGTGGTCTTCTGCTTGTTCTCAATGATATTCCTTGCAGTTATTGCATATTTGTACTTGTTATGTACTGTGTTATTCACATTCTTCATCAATCCACTTTTGACTGATTCCATCTTAGATTGTAACTTGCTGTACCAATTGTAGTAGACTGTCTCCATGTTGTCTTCTACAAACGTATTCCAATCCAACATGCTACTCAAATTGTTGTAGAATGCCTCAATCTGCTCAATTGAGTAAAGTGAGTTCTTAACAAGGCCCCTTCTCTCATCCTCCTGTTTTGTGTAGAACCTGATGATTTCATCAATGTTCTTGTATACGTTGATCATGTTGGCTACTAACACATCCCTTATTGTAAGTGGATCATAATTCTCATTCTTATATAGTGTATATAGAATTCCAAATGCATTCACAACACATGACTCATTCTTCATTGCAATTCCACATAATTCAACAATGTTCTTGTTCTCTCGTGTCTTCTCTAGGAAATTGATTATTTTGTATTCAATTCCATTTGATACAAATTCAACAGCCTCTAAAAATGGTTTCTCTCTTACATCACAATAAATCAGCATCTTGAACAGCTTTCGCTGAATTGAGTCATCTTTGTGTCTGTTGTAGTGCTTCGCAATGAATAACACATCTTTCCAATTTGCTTTCTTCACGCATTCTTCGAAACTTGTGATCAATTTTTCCAGATCAATAGCACATTCTTCTTGTGTTTCTGTTTCACCAAGGAATCTCTGTTTATTTCTTCCTGATTTCGTTGTATAGCCGTAGAATCCATCATACTTGCATATTTCACAAACAGAAACCAAATCCAGGTCTATTTCTTTGGTATTAACCTGACACAACTCCACCTTGAATTTCTCCAAATCACTGAAATTGTATAATTGATCAGTATTAAACATCTTGCACAAATCATATTTATGCTTGGATGCATCCATACGTTTCTTACTGTTTTGGAATAATTCCACTAAGGCATTTTTGAATGGAATTGATTCGGCTGGAATGTTGTTTGTTAGTACAGAAAGCACCAAATATGCATCACATAGCTCGTTATTCTCCTTATTCACTCTTTCTAAAACAGTCAGGTCTCTTGTTGTTGCATAAAGTGTCATGTAATTCCATATGCATAAATCATCATTCCAAACAAATTCTTCTTCTACTGGGCTTCTTATTCCTCCCAAATCTTTTATCAAAGAATAAGTCTCTCTATCGAAACATTTTGAAGATGCTGCCTCTACAAAGGCATCCATATTTTCACTCCTAATTTTGTCATTGTGATCTGAATATGCTCTCACTATGCTATTTATGTCCTCTGCATTCTCAATACATTCATTTTCTATTTCTATGCTATTCAAATTGCGTAAATTGTACTCAAACAGCTCTGTCTTGTTCCTGCCGTATTTAGATTGCATTAGTGGGTAAAAATTGATGAGTTTTGCTATTTACTGCTTGTGTGCTACCTCATTGTCTAATTTACAGAGTCAATTGAAACAGGCTTCCTACAACATGGACAATAATGCTGTCGTGATAGCAACCACCTGTCTATGCATTCAATATGAAAGAAGTGATCACAACTCAACTTTCTCAATTCTGATTCATCTTTGTATTCTTCATAGCATATTATGCAGTGATCTTCAGTCTTGAGTTTTGCCTGATTGTATTTACACAGTTCTGTGTTCTTTATCACGAAATCAGCCAAATCAGGCTCCAATTTTGCCAATGTTCCCAACAATTTCTTACAAATCGAATTAGTGATTATCAACAGTATTCCACCTGCTGCTAATGCCATTGGAAAAGAGAAATAGCTGTAGTTCTTCAATCCAATTCTGTATGGAACCTTGCTCTTCTTGTTCTTTTCTTTTATGTTGAATATGAACGTGTAGATTGGTCTCTCTATTAGGAATACCAGGATTGTCTTATTGTAGACCGCGTCATTGTACTTATTGATTACCTCGCTTCTATTTGAGTCGTATAGTAGCGCATACACGTTATCAGTAGTGAATTCGACATCAACATCTTCCAAATAGTCCACAACAACAACTGTGTTCTCAAATAGCCCAGAATTGGCGTCAGTCATGAAATTTTTTATGTCCTCACCAAATACCACATTCGTTCTCAGGTACGCGTTATTGCTGTTATTGTAGAGCATCAGCTCCTTGTTAGCATGCATGAAATACTTCAAAGATGTCAGTGCGCTTGCTAAATAGTTCATGTTTGTTTGGGGAATAAACAAAACAAATTATTCACAATCTGTTTATGCATTTCTACTCCTGATTCTCCTTGTAGTTTCTGCGTATCGTATCCTTCAGAAGTATCAGATCATCACCCGTATAGTACTCTCTAAGTGCTGTTTCCACCTCTCGTATCACCTTTCTGCGTCCCACCTTGTCCATGCTCTCTTTCAGTTTCACTATTTTATTTACGACCACTTTTATGTCCCTGTTTGAAAGAATGTCTTCCACCTTCTTCTTCACAAACTTCTCCTCTGCGCTGTAAATGATGTTCTCTATCTCGTAGTTCTTGGTCTCAAAGAACGCCTCCTTCCCTTTCAGGTAGTCCAATGCCCTATAAATTTCCAATTTGAATTTCGTAAATTCTTCCACGTCATCCGTCCTATGCTCATAGAAATACTTCTGGAGATCTTTATCCACGTTACTAGCCAGCATCTCATCTAACTCATTATTGAATTGTGTAATTTCCTGTAGAAAATGTACTGAATTATCGATGTATTCGTACATGTAATCCAGGTTCTCCCTATTCTGGTCATCCGTATAGTAATCATGTGCTATCTTCTCAAGAACAGCATCCAACTTCTCTGTATCCAGCTTTAAGACAGTACACAACTTCTTGAATGGCATCAGTGTCTCCTTGATCATATCGTAATTAGTGAATTTTATGCCTTCAATTTGCTCAAATATCTCATCATAATACGTTTGAATATTGTGGTAGAATCCCTTTAGAAAGTAACTTAGTAGAATATTGCTTGTCAATGAGTAAAATAGTTCTGTTGCATCTGAGTATGTTTGTATNTCGTACATGTAATCCAGGTTCTCCCTATTCTGGTCATCCGTATAGTAATCATGTGCTATCTTCTCAAGAACAGCATCCAACTTCTCTGTATCCAGCTTTAAGACAGTACACAACTTCTTGAATGGCATCAGTGTCTCCTTGATCATATCGTAATTAGTGAATTTTATGCCTTCAATTTGCTCAAATATCTCATCATAATACGTTTGAATATTGTGGTAGAATCCCTTTAGAAAGTAACTTAGTAGAATATTGCTTGTCAATGAGTAAAATAGTTCTGTTGCATCTGAGTATGTTTGTATTAGGGCAACCCGGAAAAGTAAACAAAGGCAAATAACACCAGCTAGCAAACATGACACCATAAAACACTTGTAGGTAGCTTTACCTCAATGAAAGACGTAGTACTTTCAAAAACCCAAGCAAACAGGTTTGTTTCTGAATGTTTACAAAATGGGGTTTGGTGATTTCTGTTTATATTTATGTCAATAAAGATTACGTCCAATTCAAAAACCTTACTATATTAATATGATGTTAATAGGTAATGTGTAATATATAATTGTTACCTTGTAAATGAGGGTAGTAAAGTTTTTATCCAAACCTAGGCAATGAGCGCTTAGGATAAATGTGGCCGAAAAAATAATGGTTTTACCCCTGAATACAATTTTTCGTCATGCGCACGTAATAGAACTATACCTCGGTATGTTTGTCCAGAATTTATGAGATTTTAAAAAATAAT